AGGAGACCCGGCAGCCCTCGGACCTGACAGGTCTGACAGGTCGCTGCAGCCACCATCAGGTCATCCATCTGGGTGGCAGGCTCACCGTCCTTCACAGCCAGGGCCAGCCGGTGGGCACTCGCAGCAGGAGCTCCGGGGATCTGCGGGAGAGGCTGCGTCCTGTCTCGGGGGGGGGTCCCCCCAGCGCACCCGCCAGCCAGGCGGGGCCCCAGAGGGCCCCAGGGGAGCAGGCCGCACTCCCGTTTCTCACCAGGCTCTCTGCGGGAACTAGGAACTGCATTCTCAATCGTTGGAACCTCAATGGACGGGACCCCATACAGTCAGAGTTACTACCCCAATGGTGGCCAAGCTTTTGGGCCACTCCCCCTGGTACCATGTCTCCCACCTTAAAAGGCACTTGTTTCAAATGTCCAGTCCTGGACTTCGACCACGCCCACCAAACTCAAAATTTCTCGCCAACCCTCTTCTTCTTTTACTAATCATTATTCTCTCAAGTTTCTATCCCAACCACAGATGGTGCTTTAACATCCAAGTGACTTGACACCAGGATGACACCACCCACTCTCAATTTATGGGTCAAGGCGATTGCCCTTCCACTGGCTGCAATTGGGCTGTCACCCTTAACATTACTGGGTTCAACCAAGCCACCTCCAATACTTCCTAGAGTCCCTGCTACAGGACCAGTGGCTGATACCAAGAATCTCCTCCATCCAGGACTGGTTTGATGCCATCGAGGACTTGTGGCTTCAAGGAACCTTTATGGACTTTACCCCTACCACAGTAGTTGTCTGTGGCCACTGAGTGCTATTTCTGGCTGCCCTGGTGTTCTCAGACCTGTCCCCGAACATTCCTCCACTCCCCCTTCTAGGTCCAAGGCCGCCCACCATTAAGCAGGAAGTAGCCAGAGGACTTTATGCTGTCCCAGTGTCACTTAGAAAAACAAAAAGGGAGGAATGTTGGGTGCAGAGCAGGCTGAACTGTGTTGTCTGCAGGGCAGGCTGAACAGATGTTGGCTGCAAGATAGCCCACACACTCAAACCCCCCTCTATCTGGTCCTTTATCACCTGTTTGCCTCAAGTCTGAACATTCAACCCCGCTCAAGGCTGAACACTTAACCCCCCCTTGGGCCAACAAGGCAGTTTGCAGACCCAGAGGCCCCATTAGATTTGGGCTATAAAACCTCCCTCCTGCCAGGCCCCCCTCTCTCTTGCTCTCTCCCTCTTCATCTCTCCTCTTCTCCCCCCCCCCCTCTCTCTTTCCTTCTTTATTTTCTCTTTGTTGCACTGCTGCAATAAAGATCTTTTGGTTGCTCCAAGTGTTGTGGTCACTTTTCTTTCAGATTACAGCAAAGGCTGTACCCTCTGAACCTGGCTGCAGCCAAATAAAACTGTTTCCTGCTGTCTTCGGTGCCTTGCCTCGTTTGTCCCTACAACAAGCTATAGCTGCTGAGTTGACCCAAGAGCTTAATCCTGATAAATAGTGATGATTAAGGAACTCTCACCTCTCAAAGACTTTTGATCTAGCACAAAGAAAACTCTTCCCATTAGTTAGATGATTCTCCTTCCTTTTAAACTATAAAAACCAGACACACACTTCTAGCTAAAACAAAATATTTATTGTAATCTCAGGAGAAGGGGGCAGGGGGAAAATTTATTGTAATCTCAAACTTATGCTCTTGACATAAGTGATTTCATTTTCTGATCTTACCCTAGGAGATACCCCACCCTTAGTGTTCCCTACCCCACTCTTAATGTTCCCTTCTAAGTCAAAGAGTTATCTACCATCTACACAAGCCATCCAGAGAAAAGCCACAAACCCACCCATATCCTGCTAGACAAAACTTAAAAAGTCCCCAGGTAGACCTGAGGCGCCAACTTCTGGGCCCAAGCAAGCAATCAATACTGCAGGCTTTGCTCTTTGATCCTGGCTATAAACACAGCCTGAAGCATTATGGAAACTAATATTCTTAGGACAGCGCCCCCACCAAAAAAAAAAAAAAAAAAGACTGGTGGGACTCCAGAGGAAGGAGGGAAATTAGCCCAACACTAAGCCTCTCCCAGTAAATCCTTTTCCAGGAACAATGCACCCTGAGGGAATGAGACAGACTCTGAATGATGGGCCCTAAATTTTGGTCTTCTCCTATTGTCAATTAGCCCAGAATTCCCCCACAGTAAAGAACAAACATCTGGGGAACAATGAATCCCAGAGGAAGAAGAAAAGCAATGGGTGAGATTTGGGATTTGAGTTTTCATCACTAGGGATCAGAGCTCCTATCTCCTCCCTGTAGAAATGAGTTTCAAACTTTTTATACCTGCCTTGCTGAGTTGAACCTGCACAACTAGTTCCCTGAATGTCCCATCCGCATGTCAGCAGTTTCCAACGATTAAACCATCCTCATTGTACCCGATAAAATTCAATTCTAACCAGAAATGAGCCCCTTGGGTGCCTGAGTGATTGAGTCCGGGAATAAACACACAGCTTCGCAGAACCTATGGAGTCTGCATTGCTCATTTTGCGATTATGCTGCCTATGGTGTCTGACCCTTTTCTCCCTGGGAAATTGAATAAAACTTTGCTTTGCACTTAGACTCTGTAAAATCTTTCACACCCCACAAATGGGGCGCCATTTAACTAAATCTAACACTTATTAAGCAAGCTTTTCTGAACTGTCTTTCCTCTTGGTCTGTGATCTTTGACCCACCCTCAGCCTGAGCAAGGCTGACTTCAGAGGGAAACTGGATAGAGTGTCTAGGGTCTAAGGTCACCACCCCCTGCTCCATTCCTGTCCCACCCTGTTTCTACTCCTGTTTGCTCCTCCCTACAAAAGCAGAAATTCTTGAAGAACCCAGCCTAATTCCATTTTAAGATTGGGAGTGAAAGGAAAGTGACCATGACTCTCGGAGCAAGAGATCTTTATTGTGGTGGTGTCTGATCAATGAGAAAAGGAGAAAGAGAGAGAGCGGGGAAGGAAAGAAGAGAGAGAGGGAGACAGCAAAGCGAGAGAGAGGTGGTCTTACATCCCTTTTGCTGTGTGTTTAAATCTAACAATGTCTCTAGTTCAGCAAGCTGCTCTGTTGGCATACGGGGATTGGGTCACAGAGTACTTGCCAAGGATGTCATCTTCTGCCTTCAGACAGACCAGGCAGGGGCCATTATGGTTGGGGGTTGAGTGTTCAGCCTTGAGGCAAACAAGCGATAAGGAACCAGATGGGTGGGGGTGCAGTGTTCAGCCCACTCTGCAGCTAACATTTATTCAGCCTGTCTTGCAGCTCACAAGGAGCCATCTCACAAGGTCATGAAAAAGTTCATTTCTGTTTTACTGTAAAATATAAGATTTCTATTTGGCCTGACCATATTTTGATGTTTAAACTAGTTTGGAATTCCTGCCCGTGCTTTGAACTCACCCATGCCAGGCTCTCCCCAACCAAATAACAACCCTCCCTGAAAACTCAGTGGCTCCTCATTAATTCTGATGTTGGAATCTGAATTTACTCCCTACCTTGAAATGTTAAGGAGTGTAGATCATTAATCTGCTATCTGCCCTTGCATTGCGCTTGCCAGAACCCTGTTAGCTCTAAGTTCCCAAGACACCCGCCTTTGTAACTAATTGTGCTATAATAAAAACCCTGCTCTTATGCCAGACTGGCTTTTGGGTGAGGCAGCTGATCAGCCTCTTTATTTTGGTTTAAAGTTCTTTGTCTGATCATGGAGATCCCTGCAGGTCCAGGGGTTGGGGCTTCCCCTTGTTATGGACCAGGCTATATGGGCAATGACCAAACAGACTCCATTTTACCCTGAGACTCCATATCATGTAAGAAATGCTTCTGCCATGGGAAAGCCCCACCTCGGTACCCATTAACAGTTACCTAGCACAGCATACATGGCAATGAAAAATGACAATTCTTATACAATGCAAAATTGTTCTCTCTTTGGGTCCCATGTTTCTTGGGCAATGACTGTCTAGACGTTAGCAACCATTCTCTAACTTGTACCCAACTAGGGTCATTTTGACCCACTTCCCTTCATCTTGCTTTCTGCTATGCCAACCTGGAAAGTCCCATGGGAAATATCAGTGTACCCACTGCATTGTCTCGCTAACTGCCCAGTTCAGCTTCTGTACCTGCTTGCTCACAGCTATGTCAACCCTGATGTGGGTTTTGCAGTTTTTGCCTTTAAATATCCTAAAATGCTCAGGCCGGTGACTGTTCCTTGCAGAGACAGTTAGGGGTCCTGCCTGGAGCAGTCACCAGCCTAACGGCTATAAGACTCTTCAATTTGGACAAAACTGGGACTTGGTGTGTTTTCTGAGCGACCTGCCCCACAACACCCTACTGCCATACGCCTTCCAAATAAAGTCAAGTCCCACCTCAAACAGCATTTCGTTTATTTAAAACGATGACTAGAAAAAAAAAATCAGAGGACGGTAACAGTCATGTTAGGAAGGCTCACGGGATGTGGAAGGTCCACACGCCCATCTCCTTTGCAAACAGTTTGGCAAAGTAGGAAATGCAGGCGCCCTGGGCTGGGGGCTGGGGGCAGGTCGTAGAGTTTGGACGAAGCTTACCTTGAACCTGCAAGATCAAAGGAAAACCAACCACCCCTCAAGAGAAAGGCGGGCTGGGGACCCCCACAGGTCCAAGCTCCGCAGAGTCGCGGTCCCACGGACCCTTCCGCCGGCGCCCAGCCTGGGGAGACACGGGGCAGAGCAGCCCAGAGGAGGCTGCAGGACCCGCCTGCAACGCGACCCGGCGCCGCGACCCGCCTGCCCGCCCCGCAGCACCCGGCGAGCGGGAGCCAAGCGGCTCCGGCGGAGGACTCTGGCTGCAGCCCCAGGGCTGCCACCAGGAGGCTGGGTCTCGCCACAGTCGGTTTCACGTGGAACTGCATTTTCCTCCCTTAGCAGCCTCAAGGTGGTCCTGAGCTTGGGCTCACTGGCCTGAGCCCTTTGTCCCACACCCCACTCCAGGTGACTGACCATCTCAATCTGGTCAGCACTCTCACCATCTCCTGACTCCTGCAGTGTCCAGGTGTCTTCCCTGTGGCTTCCGACGGAAGTGGAGGTCAAGGAGCAATCGGAGGTGAACCACCAGGGGCTCAGCAATGAGCAGGGATCCCGCAGGTGGCAGCGCCAGACAGCACCACCTTTGCACCGCTTCCGAGCTGGGGCAGCCGCAGACTGGCGCTGCTGCTGGAACTCTCCCAGCAGCCTGAGGCAGCGTCTGATTGGCTATGGCGCAGGGCCCGCCCCCCTGGAGCCTGAGTGACAGAAGGGATCGCCTATCTGTCTCGGTAATGGCAGGATTCCAGCCCGAGCACTTTACAGCCCAGATTCCCTCCCCTGGGGGACGTTTGCCTTTGAGGACTTCCTCCTAGTGGTCACCTGTTTCTTCCTCCTGTTAAAGGGGACCGCTAAGCCTGTGAGCATAACTGAAAGAACCAACGAGGCTCCTGTCGGAGAAAAATGCCCCTTTATGGAGGAACAGCTCTGCATATTTACAGAGCCAGGGGTGGTTTGACAGTTATGACAGTTTAACGGTTAACCGGCTTGACAGTTGGCACAGGGTGCTTTGCGACTGGTGAGTTAGGATCATGTGAGTCAGCAGGGCTCACCATTGGACGTCTCTTCTGGGGGTGGGGAAGTTAGTCTTTGGAGCAGGTGACTCCCCAAAATAACTATGGGTTAATTTAGAAGCCAAGTCAAAGGATCCCATTCTGCCCAGAGCCTCACCCTGCTCCCCCCCCCCTTCCTGCAAGAGCCCACTTACACAGAAGCTGGCACCCCCACCCACCTGCACCCTAATCATAATGCTCACAGACCTTCACCTACTTTCTGAGTATGTACGGGGGCTGCCAGTTCTGACAACTTGGTGGCAATATGTTTGCTCCTCCTGCCCCCTCCCCTTGGTGGTCCTGTTAGGGAGAGTCGCCTCTGAACCTAATTCAAACAAGAGAGAGCTTTATTTACCTGGCCAGGGACTGTCTCCCACCCTTGGAGACTGATGCTCTGTGGGAGAACAGTAAATTTCCTGGCTCGTGTCTTGGGAATTTAAGGATGAAAAAAAAAAAAACACAATCCAGGGGCTTTTCTCAGCATCACGCAAGTGAGGAAGTTACAGAGCTTTAAAAAAAAAAAAAAAAAGGCATTTAGCTTAATCGCATCTCCAGTCCCAACAAGTGTTAGACAACTGTATCCTGAGTTTTAGCTGAGCGCGGGTGATAATCTATTTTTTTTTTTAAAGAGAGAGTGAGAGAGGGAGAGAGAGAGAGAATTTTAATATTTATTATTTATCGGCAGACACAACATCTTTGTTGGTATGTGGTGCTGAGGATCGAACCCGGGCCGCACGAATGCCAGGCGAGCGCGCTACCGCTTGAGCCACATCCCCAGCCCAATAATCTATTTTAAAGTCATGTAGACCCATAAATGTACTCAAACCCACGGTGTAGCTCACCAGGACCACCACTGTATCCTGAGTTGATTGCATTCTGTGGGGTACAAAGTACAGCAAAACAGCTTTCATTTCAGTTTCTCAGAAACAGCTCTTGTAACAGTTTCTAGAGAAGGCAGCAAAATGGAGTCTTAGGCACCTCTGTGACAGTTGTTGCTTTATAATTGTCTTATCTCACCAAAATCTTATATCTGTGATCCATATTTTTTTTACTAATCTATAACCTCTAACTCAGACTCTTACTGATTTTATTGATTACTTTACACCACAACAGTTCTTGAGGTTTTGAAGCTTACTCTCCACCTGCAATCGCAAAGGCTAAACGCCCCCCTCCCCCATGCATAACCTAGATTCTGACTTAAAGTTGACTCGAAAGAAATCTGCTGCTTTCTCTCTTCGCAGAGGCAGCCCGTCAGATTCCTGACAATAGACGTGCTTCTGCTTGGCCTTGGTGTGTCCAAGGGATCAGTCCTGAGTCCAGTTGCCTTTCAGATCACTGTTAGGTCGGTGGCAGCCCGAGTGGAAAAGAAACATCAATCAGGCGCCAACAGAAAGGCCTATCAATCAGCGGGATCTCCTGACTAAGGCCTGTCAATCATCAGGACCCCCTGGCCAATCCTGGAGTTCAGCCAAGCCCCCCCCCCACACACACACACCAACTCCAGCAGGACAAGGGACTCCAAAAACACCTTTTCCTGTCCCAAGCCCTTCCCTTCCTGCTGTAAGCCCCATAAAAGTCCAGTCCCGTGGAGCTTCCACCCAGTGTCTCCTCAGACCCTTCTCCTGTCCACTCGGTCGCCTGGGAGTGGCCTTTTCAAATCTGCCTCCTTTGGTCGCTGCCCGCCTGGCCTGATCTTACAATCACAATCAGGAATTCCAGACTCAAGTGACCCCTGGAGACACAGCACGAACGCAGGAAAGGAGAGGTGCCTGGGGCAGGCCCGGCTTCCTGCTGGATGGCTCCCTGGTGAAGAGGAAAGTGTAGGGGAAGAACCCGAGGAAGCAAAGAGGGAGGGAGGATGTGTGCTCATGCACACAAAGTGTTAAGTTTTGCTGTGCTTAGTTAAACAATGGGGTTCTGTGAGAACTATGAACTCTTTGAACTGTGTCCTTGTTGCTGTCTTAAGAAGGTAAAAGAATGTTCTGCCAAGTTTAAAATCTATAATGATATATATGTGTGTGTGCGTGTGTGTGTGTGCGCGCTTGCCAGGAAATAACTAACTACAAGTCAGATAATAAGAAGTACGAGCACTGTGACCATGAACAAAGTTATTCTGAGAATGTTTCTCCATGCTTGAAAAGATTAAGCTGCCGAGAGGATGTGTTTCTTTTTTGCTGTATAAAAGAAGAAGGGAAAAAATAAAGAGGTGCTCATTTGTACTGGGTGTGTGTGTGTGTGTGTGTCTGTGTGTGTCTTTCGGCATCTCTGCTGTAACAGGAACTACAGTGGATTCTGACATGAGAGGGGGGCTCAATAGTCACAGGTTTATTTGGGACAAAACTGAAGCCAGAATTAGACAGGCAGCAGGTATAGATAGGTAAATGGAGTCAGGTCAGATCAAGGAGGACAATTTGAGCCTGGGAAGTTGGAGACTTGCCCTTAAGGGATTGAAATGCCTTCAGAGTTCTTCCTCCACCCTATCAAGATAACCTGCCCCCACTCCAACCTGTTGCTAAGGTAACCTGTTCCAGGAATCGCCTCTCCCTACTGGGGGTTATAAAGTTGCTAAAGAATGTGTCCTGGCTGCTCCATCCTGCCCTCGCCCTTCCCCTGTCCTCCTGCTTCTCACCTTTCAGCCATCCCACTGAGCATCTCCTGGGGTATACAGGAAGGAGAAAAATAAGGGGAAGAGAGAACAGAGGAAGCCTAGGATTATAAAAAGGCAAAACACCCCTCACTTGTTGGAATACCAGATACCAGCTATGGCCCCCTTCTCCCTCCGGGGAAAAGTCCATGCTGCTTACCCCTTTCTAAATAAACCCTGCTTTATATATTTCCTTCTCTAATGTTACACTTCAACACGTGAGGGAGAGCACTCACCAGCAACCACCAGTATCAAAAACTGTGTGTGGGGGGGGTCCCAATGAGACTGAAGCCTGCCTTCTGACTCATAGCCGTTGCTAGGGAGTTGTCAGGAAAGGGTTCTTGTGATTGTCACATCATTATTTGTGATGTCACTGTTCATATCAAACGAGGTGTTTCTCATCATTTTAGTACCAAATAACAATTCCACTGTCTGGGGTTTATTTAGGTCAGGCTGACCGTGGTTGTGGGTCAGAATACCTGTGAGATGACTATTGTTCCAAGATGGAGGATATGTTTCAAAAACGGCATTGCCCAAACCAAGTTCTCCCTATCAGAAGGGACACCTAAGGATTTAACTCTGGAAGTTCGTCATTTCCTGGAGTCCCTCCTCAGTGTGGAAACTCTCTCAACACCTTACTATTCACCAGAGGGACACTAAGAGTAAAAGAAATTGAAGTTAAAGTGTAAAAGTTAAAGTGTAAAAGACCGGGCATTGTAAAGTTTCCAAGCTGCAGGGCCTGAGTTAAAAAGTGAAGGACCAGGTATTGTTAAATTCCTCTGTTAGGACAATACCTGAACTGCCCAGTAAATATTCCTCCTGATCCTCTGGCTGTTTAATAACTAAGGGCTCTGAGTAGCCCGGCTGTAGGCACCCAGGCCCCAAAACCAATAAGTTTGAATGTGTACCCCGCTTAGAAATGACCAATCACCCCTGCCCAGCCTGTTCCCGCCAATGAATGTACTAATCAAGTCTAAGAATTATTGTTTGATTTCCCCGCAGTGTATGGTGATTTGTTAAAGGAGACTATGATGTGTATGCAAAGCCCCCGCCCTCCCCAAAAAGTGTACTTAAGCATTGTTCAACCCCTGCTCTGGGCTCTGGGCTGCTCTCCTTTCTTGAGTGGGCACGGAGCCCCAGCATGCTGTTCAATAAATCCCCTTCTGCCAATTGCACGAGTGGTCTCTTGGTGGTCTCTTTCTCCGACGCTTCGCCGGACCCTTACACTCCCACATGGATTTACTTTAAGGTTCTTGCCAAATAAATTGTGAAATGTGAAAGAAAAGTGACCACAACACTCGGAGCAACCAAAAGATCTTTATTGTAGCAGTGCAACAAAGAGAAAGGAAAGAAGGAGAGAGAGAGAAAAGAGAAGAGAAGAAGAGGGAGAGAGCAAGAGCAAGAGACAGAGAGTGTGTGCCAAGAAAGATAAAGAGCAAGACAGAGAGAGCAAGAGAGGGGGGTGCCTGGCAGGAGGGAGGTTTTATAGCCCAAAGCTAATGGGGCCTCTGGGTCTGCAAGCTGCCTTGTTGGCCCAAGGGGGGGTTAAGTGTTCAGCCTTGAGCGGGGTTGAATGTTCAGACTTGAGACAAACAGGTGATAAAGGACCAGATAGAGGGGGGTTTGAGTGTGTGGGCTATCTTGCAGCCAACATCTGTTCAGCCTGCCCTGCAGACAACACAGTTCTGCCTGCTCTGCACCCAACCAAATGTGTGAACCCTTTCTCCAGGAGACTTTCATCATATAATCAGCATCTCTAGGCATGCCAAAACAAAATCACTGTTCAGGAAAGTCGGGACAACCAGTAACCACTCCAAAAAGACTAGAAGCCCCAATTACATCTGCATGAGGCTCTGCAGCTTCTCACTGGCAACACTCCTTCTGCAGGTGTTCTGAGCAGCTTATCAGCCACCTGTGGAGGGCAGCTGCCCAGGAAGCACCAAGGGGAACTTCATTCCCCTCCCTTAGCAGGCTCAAGAGGGTCCTCAGCTTGGACTGGGGGGAGGGGACCCTGGGGGGGAGGGGCCTCCTCCCTTTGTTTCCCTGCCCCACTATTTATTCACCTGCTTCACACTAACATCCATGAGTTAGAGATGCTGCATTGAGACAAAGATGCTGAATCCAAATATTTCAATTGAAAACAACAAAAAATTACCTGCTGTACCTCTCAGTTTACTTGTAAAGTGAATAGAGAAACCTGAGGATATTTCATGTGGTTTTAAAAATTTGCAAATAATCATTGCATCGAGAATGCAAAGATTGGGGCTGGGGATGTGGCTCAAGCGGTAGTGCGCTCGCCTGGCATGCGTGCGACCCGGGTTCGATCCTCAGCACCACATACCAACAAAGATGTTGTGTCCGCCGAGAACTGAAAAATAAATATTAAAAATTCTCTCTCTCCTCTCTCACTCTCTCTTTAAAAAAAAAAATTAAAAAAGAGAATACAAAGATTTCAGCAAATTAGTCACTTTCTATACCAGTTCACATAAATGATCAAATGTGAACTCTTTTTTCCACTGCTTCTGCAGTCCCTAACATTCCAAGCTGATGGTTGTCACCGGGGACTCTGTGACAAAATGGCCCCAAGTTGACTACCCCTCAGACACATCCTCTGATTTGAATTATCTTTTTGAAATGTCTAAGGGGATAAGTGGTGATATTTTTTTTTTTTAAGAGAGAGTGAGGGGAGGGAGAGAGAGAGAGAGAGAGAGAATTTTTTAATATTTATTTTTTAGTTATTGGCGGACACAACATCTTTGTTGGTATGTGGTGCTGAGGATCCAACCCGGGCCACGAGCATGCCAGACGGGCGCGCTACCACTTGAGCCACATCCCCAGCCCCAAGTGGTGGTATTTTGGATGAGTACCAAGGACATCTTCTTCACTGCTCTTCTCTGTAACCTGTCATATCACCTCCTCATTGAAGTCACACATCAGATGTTACAGGTCATGGATTAGTCCAGAGATTGTAACCCAAGAGCTTTAATCTCTGGAATGATAAATTGTCTTCTAAATTCTAGTGAGATATTTGGCGACCCCTAAGTAGCTTCAGGATGGCGAATGGTCAGGTCACCAGAAAGACCAAGGCATGCTTAAAGGGTAGACAAATTTTTAATTATTTTGATTTATAATTGATGGGAACGTTGAAATGTTGAGCCACACCCTCGGGACCTCAGGAAGGAAAAAGGGATGAGTCATGAGTGAATCCTCAAGGGCTGATGAACTAATCCATCATGTAAAAATACCAGAAACCTACCAAGAGCCCCTAAATGTGGTGTGTGAACTTCTGGGTAGGTGGACACACAGAGGTGCTGGAAGCTTGGGACCTCTGGGTGGGACCTGGAAGATTCCTAATCCCCTAACTCCATAGCTTGCCCTACATCTCTTCTATTTGGCTCTTCCTGGGTTGTATCCTTTATCATAAACTAGTAATACTAAGAACTTTCCTGAACCCTGTGAGTCCTTTTAGCAAATTAGCAATCATGAAGGAACAGGGAGAGTGTGGGAACTTGACGCCATAGCCAATCTTGGCAGAAATGCGGGTACTTTTGAATCCCGAATTTTTCACTTGCATCTGACATAAGGGTTGGCTTGGGGGACTCAGCCCTTAAACCTGTGGAGTCAGGTAGTGTCAGAATCCAGTGGAATCTTAAAAATGGCTAAGAAGAACCAGGAATATGTTTACTATCATGAGTCTGAAAAATGCGTACGTTTAATTTTAATTTTTTTTAAGTTGTAGTTGGACACAATGCCTTTATTTTATTTATTTATTCATTTTTTTAAAATATTTATTTTTTAGTTCTCGGCAGACACAACATCTTTGTTGGTATGTGGTGCTGAGGATCCAACCCGGGCCGCACGCATGCCAGGCGAGCGCGCTACCGCTGAGCCGCATCTCCAGCCCTATTTATTTATTTTTATGTGGTGCTGAGGATCAAACCCGGGGCCTCGAACATGCTAGGCGAGCACTTTACTGCTGAGCCACAACCCCAGCCCTAATTTTAATTTTTTATTTTAAGAGTCTCTGCGAAAGAGTCCAATGGAGATAAACTTCCTATTTTTCTGTTGCCCTGTTTTACTTGGCCACTGGTCAGGAAGATACCAGCACTCTAGGTGCTTGACACCCCCTTACTAGTTTTTCACAAACTCGTATCCAGTATAGTAGTTTGTAGAAATGTGCAAACAAGGCCTCTGGCCTTGAGCTGGGTTTCACAGAGATGTCTACATTTTTAAGATAAGTTACAAATGGGCTCCATTTGGGGAGAAGAAGCTCTCCCCTTCTCAGGTGTTGTCCTTGAAGAGTTAACTTGCCCAGAACAGAGAAAGAAAAAGCTGCTTTTCTGTGAACTTCTGCCGACTGTGAACTTCTGGGCCCCTCCCCTTACATGCTGGGCATAAAACTCTGAAACTCCCTGAACTCGGGGTTCAGGGGATTGATTGATGACAGCAAAAGCTGTGCCCTCTGAGCCTGGCTGCAGCCAAATAAAACTGTTTCCTGCTATCTTCGGTGCCTTGCCTCGTTTGTCCCTACAACAGTAGCCTTTTATTAAAAAAAAAAAAAAAAAAATTAGCCAAGAGAAAGACAAAGTAATTTTTGTTAAGTTTCTTTAAAAAAAAAAAGAATTTCTTTTTTTTTAATCATTATTTTAAGAGAGAGAGAGAATTTTAATATTTATTTTTTAGTTTTCGGTGGACACAACATCTTTGTTTGTACATGGTGCTGAGGATCGAACCCAGGCCGCACGCATGCCAGGCGAGTGCGATACTGCTTGAGCCACATCCCCAGCCTGAATTTCTTTTTTTTTTTTTAATATTTATTTATTTTTGTTGTAGTTGGATACAATACCTTTATTTTAATATGGTGCTGAGGATCGAACCCAGGGCCTCGCACGTGCTATGTGATCACCCTACCACTGAGCCACAACCCAAACCCCTGTTAAGTTTCTTTCCAACTGTGGTTTCTGGGGAGCATTACATGTATAATAATTTGCATCAGGCATTTCATATTTCTTAGACTTATAGAATTATTTCACATGGGGAGTTTTCACAAGACAGTGTTTGTTAACACTGAAAAAATTTTCACATATTTCTCACATTTACAGGGTTTGGATAAGCTGTGCATTTTTTACATGTTGTAAGTTGCGGGCCAATGGAAGATTTACCCACATTTGTTTAAATTGTTTAAATGTGGTACTGGGGATGTGGCTCAAGCGGAAGCGTGCTCGCCTGGCATGCGTGCAGCCCGGGTTCGATTCTCAGCACCACATACCAACAAAGATGTTGTGTCCGCCGATAACTAAAAAATAAAATATTAAAATTTAAAAAAAAAAATTGTTTAAATGTGTTCTTGCATCACTTCAAGTTCAACTTGGAGAATGAGAAGCTTTCCCATGTTGATAATATTTTTTTTTTAAAGAGAGAGTGAGAGAGAGAAAGAAAGAGAGAATTTTTTAATATTTATTTATTTTTTTTAGTTATCGGCGGACACAACATCTTTGTTGGTATGTGGTGCTGAGGATCGAACCTGGGCCGCACGCATGCCAGGCGAGCGCGCTACCGCTTGAGCCACATCCCCAGCCCCCCATGTTGATAATATTGTAGGCTTTCTTTCTCTGGTCTTCTCACATGGGCCAGTTGTGTGAAAAAAATGTCCCACGTTCTATATACAGAATTTGTTCCAGTAAAAGTCTTTAATGCTTGGGTAGTACCATATTTATTTTTTCATGTACTTCTAACCGAAATGACTGAATACATAAGCATGTCCCACTCCTAAGGCTATTCTCCACTGTGAGTCCTTTCATGTTTATACAAGGCGCTGGAGCGCCTGAAGGCTAGCCCACATTGCTTACATTTGTTAAGTCCGTCCATCTCCACTGTTCTGTGTAAGAGCATGTGTTTTCGAAGGCTGTCGAAACAGACAAATGTTTTCCCACATTCCTGACAGTCATAAGGCTTCTTCTGCTCACCATGGGTTCTCATGTGACTTCGAAAGTAAGTAAGACAACTGAAGCCTTTCCCACACTGCTCACATTTATAAGGCTTCTTCCCTGTGTGAGTGGTTTCATGGTTTCGAAAGGAAGAAGCGTATTTAAAGGTTTTTCCACACTCTTTACATTCATAAGGTTGCTCTCCATTGTGAGTGAGTTCATGGATTCGAAGAGAACTAGGATAAAAAAAACCTTGATCGCACACCTTGCATTTGTAATTCCACTCTCCACTGTGAGTTGCCATGTGCCTTCGAACTGAGTGGGAATAAGTGAACATTCTGCCACACTTCTTACACTCGTAGGGTTTCTCTCCAGTGTGAGTTCGTTCATGTATTCGAAGGTGACTGGGATGCCGGAAGGTCTTATCACATCGCTTACATTTATAGGGCTTCTCTCCACTGCGAATCCTTTTATGCTTTTGAAGGGAACTGGAATTCAGTAAGTTTTTCCCACATTGCTTGGGTTCATACATTTCCTCTCTCATGTGACTTGCTTTATGATTTCGAAGGAAACTGGGATAAGGAAACCCTTGGCCACCTGTGTGTCTTTCAGCCTGATGGGGACTAGTGAACTTTCTCCCACACTGCTCATGTTGGTAGGGTTTCTCTCTAGTGTGTATCCTTTCATGTTTTCGAAGGTAACTGGGCAGCCTAAAGGCCTTATCACACACTTGGCATTCATAGGGTTTGTCTCTGTATGTCTCATACTCAAACGGTCTGCGTCTGGACCTCTTCAATGATGAATGACCAATGGCCACTCCTCCAGCCACATGGCTTCCACTTGGTTTGGGTCTAGGAATTTTCTTGGCCACAATATGATCTGGAATCTGGCTGAAGGTTTTTCCTTCTTTATGCTCACGGAGTCTCTCTGCCGCTTGACTTCTATAAAATATGAGAATCACATCATTAAGGGTTTGCTTATACACAGTTTTACATCTATTGACATATTCAATGTATACTGTAAAATTTAAAAGTGTAGGCTTTATATCCAGCTCGAATTTTTTTTTTAGAGAGAGAGAGAGAGAGAGAGAGAGAATTTTGATATTTATTTTTTAATTTTTGGCAGGCACATCTTTGTTGGTATGTGGTGCTGAGGATCGAACCCGGGCCGCACGCATGCCAGGCGAGCGCACTACCACTTGAGCCACATCCCCAGCCCATCCAGCTCGAATTTTTCAAACTTGAACTCAATGCTCTGTAACACAGCTAGATCAGAACTATTATCAAAACAGCAATATTTGTATGAAGCATTCTAATACTGTTCCAAAGTGACTTATTTTGCAAACTGTAAGAATATATTACATGTGAATATATATTTTTAGAGGAAAATTTCTAAGTAAACTTGAAATTAGGCTCTTAATTTTTTCCTTCACTTGTTTTTTTTTATATTTATTTTTTAGTTTTAGATGGACACAATGTCTTTATTTTTATATGGTGCTGAGGATGGAACTCAGTGCCTCACGCATGCCAGGCGAGCACTTGAGTCACATCCCGAGCCCTTCCTTCACTTGTTTTTAAGATTTTCTGACAATCTAAGATCCTCTTCAGAGAACCTACTATCAAATATATATTACCTTAGATTTCTCTTTGGATTTTTGTACTGATCTTCCATGTTCTGATGTTCCCATTTTTTCCCTAAAACATAGATCCAGACAAGCAAGATTATACATTGACTGTTATATTGTGCTCATTGTACACCCCAGCCATGCTTGACTGATTCACCACAATGTAATCTTACCATATTTTATTTTATTTTCAATTTTTTTTCAGTTGTAGGTAGATACAATATCTTTAATTATTTATTTATATGTGGTGCTGAGGATCAAACCCATTGCATCACCCGTGCTAGACAAGTGCTCTACCACTGAGCCACAACCCCAGCCTCATCTTTTTTTAATTTGTTATATGTGACAGCAGAATGCACTACAATTCATATTACACATATAGGCCACAGTTTTTCATATCTCTGGTTGTACACAAAGTAGAGTCACAGCATTCATGTCTTCATACATGTACTTAGGGTAATGATGTCCATCTCATTCCACCACCTTTCCTACCCCGCCGGCTCCCTCCCTTCCCTTTGCCCTATCTAGAGTGCATCTACTCTTACCATATTTTTAATCACTGGACAGCATCCATGATCAAGAAACTCGTCTTCAAATTAAAAAATTTTTTACCTACAAAGGACCAGTTCTTGAGGGTTTCCTGCATCACATCTCTGTAGAGTTTCTTCTGGGAAGGATCCAGCAAAGCCCACTCCTCCTGGGTGAAGTTCACAGCCACATCCTCAAAGGTCAGTAGGTCCTGAAACATCCCACATGTTTCCAAAAGGAAGGATGAGACTCACAGAGCGGTGATCTGTGCTCAGTTCATAAGACGGTGACAGGCTGCATCAGACTCCACTCACCCATTCTCTGACTTCTTAACCAGACTCTTCCTCTGTGTCTGTGCATGCATTCTCCCCCAACGCGACTAAGACAGAACTATGTAGTACAGTCTCACCCAAATAGGAAGAATAGGCCTCTGGTCAGTGAGTATATGCATAACATGCAGCTGGAATCACCCCTAGTGTCTCCTCACTGGGGCCCAGGTTCCCAACAAACGAACCCTTGGGACACACTCAAAATCATACACAGACTGCAGCGGTGTCCAAAAGCAGATTTATGTAAGCAGAACAATGAATCGGCTAAGATGAAGACAAGTCAGTGGAAATTATGCAGCTGAGAAAGAGAAAAATAAGAATGAAATTAATTGTGTCTTGCAGGAATTGTTTAAAATTCTTCACTGAAAAGGAAAATGGTTCAAGTTATGAACAGGGATCACCTAAAGAAAAGAATGTGAGAAAAAAGAAAAATGGGGTACCACAAAATATCTACTTTCCTTATTCTTATCTGATCTAATAGATGGATACTTGTGCAGAATGATAATATTGAGTGGTTGTAGGTACTGGGATATCAGGTGAATGGCAGTAATTGATTATATGGGACAGGAAGGAGGAATTGGGACCATACTCATGTGTCATGAAACAGTGGAGTGTTATTTGAAAGTGGATTTAGATTAATTGTAAAGGCATACTTCAAATTCTAGGGAAACTCCTTAAAAGTTTTAGATGACATATAATAAATTGCTAATAGAACAAAGAAAATGGATCATATAGGGGCTGGGGTTATAGATAGTGGTAGAGCGCTTACCTAGCACATGCGAGGCACTGGTTTTGAACCTCAGCACTACATTAAAATAAATAAAATGAAGGTATTATGTCCATCTACAACTAAAAATATTTCTTTAAAAAATGGAGTCATATAAAAAGCTCAATTAAAATGAGAGGGCAGAGCTGGGCATGGTGGCACACACCTACAATCCCAGCGGTTCGGAGGCTGAGACAGGAGGATCATAGGTTCAAAGCCAGCCTCAGCAATGGCAAGGCACTAAGCAACTCAGTGAGACCCTGTCTCTATATAAAATACAAACAGGGCTGGGGATGTGGCTCAGTGGTTGAGTGCCTCTGAGTTCAATCTCTAGTACCCCCCATCAAAAACATGAGAAGACAGAGAAAGAAAAGCTTTTTAAAAAAGGACAACAAAAATATTAAAGTTGTCAGTATGACAATTTGATTATGTCAATGATTCAATTTAAATGGGAATTATGTAAATACACCTATTCAAAGACAGAGTAAAGTACAGGTGGTGGCACACACCTGTAATCCCAGTGGCTGGGAGGCTAAGATAGGAAGATCATGAGTTCAAAGCCAGCCTCCACAAAAGCGAGGCACTAAACAACTCAGTGAGACCCTGTTTCTAAATAAAATACAAAATAAGGGCTGGGGGTGCGGCTCAGTGGTGGATTTCCCTGATTTCAATCCCTGGTGGAAAGAAAAAAAGGAAGGAAGGAAGGAAGGAAGGAAGGAAGGAAGGAAAGAAGGAAGGGAGGGAGGGAGGGAGGGAGGGAGGGAGATTGATTTTTTAAAAAGACCCAAAGTTCTTTTATCTATAAGAAAAACTATGCTGCAAATAAAGGAGAGAAGGGAGGGGAGATGTCAATAAAAGGATTCCAAATTTCAGATGTATAGGAGGCATGAACTCAAGAGATCCTTGTCCAACATGGTGACCACTGTTAATAACAATGCATTCTGCTCTGCAAAGTTACTCTGGGGTTCATTTTTTTTTTAAGTTGGACACAATATCTTTATTTATTTATTTTTATGTGGTGCTGTGGATCAAACCCAGGGCCTCGCACATGCTAGACAAGCGCTCTACAGCTGAGCCACAACCCCGGCCCATGGGGTTCAATTTTAAGTGTTATTATCACATACACTCTCACACACACACCACACACACACACAGGTATGTGAAGTAATGCATCTAGTAATTAGTTCTCTTTACCCATTCCATGATGTATACATATATAAAACATCACCTTCTAAATTGTAGGTATATTTGACGACCAATCTCTGCAGCTTGAACCTGCCACTAAGGCACTCCTGATTTTTGGCTCTATCGGGGACGCCCCTTTTGCCAATAAATCAGTTTCCTCTTTCTCTCTTATACTATCTTTGTGTCTCCTTTCCTCTCCCCTGTACTACTTTGTGTCCTCTTCTCTCCTCCTTATACTACCTTTGCGACATGGTTAATGTGTCCTCTCTGCTGGTCGACTCTCCCCTACAATGCCTCTTGGATAACCTCAAAACCCTCTCCTTGACACCAGACATCAAACCCAAAAAATTGATCAAATACAGCACCCAGGCCTGGCCCACTTATCCCTTAGACAACCAAAGCAGATGGCCGTCCTTTTGGGTCCCGGGATCCCTCCATTCTAAGGGAGCTCTACAATTACTGTGGGCATTCGAAAAAATGGGTAAAAAGCTGCTATATCAAAGCTTTCTTCTTGCTTGTGCTCTCTGCACCTCTTGCAGACCTCTGCAAATTCTTCTAGCTTGCAAACCAACACCCACAACCACTGATCCCCAACTCTCTCCTCCGGACTCCTCCACTTCTTTTGACCCTGCTGAGGAACCTCCACTCTATCACCCGGCTCAAAGAGGTCCTCACCCTCAGCCTTCTGCCCCAGCCCCTTTGCTGTCACCGCCACCTGAACAACCTGCTCTCTCCCCTCCAATTACTAGATCAAAAACCGACACCACCGCCCTTCCTCAGATCCTTGCCCCCTTGCTGAGGTAGCAGGTACTGAAGGAATCCCTCCACCCACTCACTCCTCTCTTCTCCTGTCAGTGCCCACACCAGGTCCCACCAGGTCCTCTTACCAGCTAACCCAAAGCTCAAACGAGCTGAGGAGAGCCCTCAGACCCCTATCCAAGATCTGGTGAAAATGGCCTTTAAAGTTGCTCTGTCATCACTGAAAACAGGTTACTAACAATCGTCCCTTACAGGCTTTTTGGGATACTCACTCCCATCCTCCCCTCTGCTCTACCTGTTCTACTGCTCAAGTTTTCCTTGCTAGGGAAAATCCCAAACCCCTTTCCCATTATTCTTTCACAACTCCTTCCTCATTCTCAGATCCACAGCTGCTCTCAGCCCCGCCTTCCCATCTTCCCCTCCTTACCCAGGCCCACAGAAAAGTCTTAACTGACCTTCTCCAGAATCTTCACCATGGCTGATTTTAGGACTTTCAGCAAAAGAGTCCCTACAAAAAAGTTTAATGTAGATAAACTTCCTATTTTCCTGTTGCCCTGTTTTACTTGGTCACTGGCTGGAAAAATCAGCACTTCAGGCACTGGACACCCCTTACTAGTTTTTCACAAAATATGTAAACAAGGCCTCTGGCCTTGAGCTGGGGCTTCACAGACAAGGCTACATTTCTAAGATAAGGAGGTTGCCAACTGGGCTCCATGATAACAGCTGGGGGGGGGGGGAGAAAGGGAAGAAAACGCTCTCCCCCTCACAGGTGTCCTTGAAGGGTTAACTTGCCCAGAACAGAGGAAAAAAAAAACTTTTTTTTTTTGTGAACTTCCTCAGACTGTAAACTTCTGAGCCCCTCCCCTCACATGCTGGGTGCAAAATTCTGAAACTACCTAAACTCGGGGTTCAGGGGATTAATTGATTACAGCAGAAGCTGTGCCCTCTGAATCTGGCTGCAACCAAATAAGACTATTTCCCTATCTTTGGTGCTATCTTAGGTGCCTTGCTTTGTCCGTCACTACAACAGTATAATTCTATGTAGTTAAACATTGTTTATGTTTTCATGAAATGTTCAACAGATGTGATTAATTGTGTACTGCAAATAACAAAATATCTCTTATTAAAATGAAATAATTTGCCTAAATTCAGAAATTTACAAGGATTGTTTCAAAATGTGAATAAAGAAGGGGTTAACAGATGGGAAAGAGAAATTAGAAAGTTTTAGGTATGGATTTAAAAGAAGGAAAATGTGTTTCTGGATAAGAGAGTCTATTAAGTAAATAAGAGGGTTTAAGCAAATGATAAAGAAGGTCTGTGTAAGTTGATTATATATGTAAGTTTTTTGAGCAAGTAATCTTGAAGGAATTAAGCATTATAACAACTATGGTTAAACAACAACTGTTATTTTACAATATTGTAATATGTTATTTCTTTAAGAGCTAAACTTGATTAATATAAAAACATCAATAGGAATTGTGGTACTATTACTATTCTTTGTATATTAAATGTGTTCATATTTTCCAGGTATATAAGTCATTAAGATAGAAGCTTTTAAAAAAAATTATATCAAGCTGATGTTCTCCAAAAGGTTACATGGTAATTTTAGGCTTATAAAAATAACATATTGGAAATTTATTTATATCATTTAATGTTCTATAACTGGACCTGTTATCAATAAGATTAATATAAAGTTCTATAAACTGGGGTACAATTTAAATGTAATATCATATTGTGTTAGCAAGTATTCATGTGACATCAAGCAACAATATATGTAAACTTTATAAAATGATATTTAAAAAACAAAGATCAGCTTCAATACAGTAGATGGGGTAGAGAGAGAAGATGGGAGGGGAGGGGAGGGGGATAGTAGAGGATAGGAAAGGTAGCAGAATACAACAGTTACTAATAGGGCATTATGTAAAAATGTGGATGTGTAACAGATGTGATTCTGCAATCTGTATTTGGGGTAAAAATGGGAGTTCATAACCAACTTGAATCTA